CAGGAAGGACCCTGCATTGCTACTCTTCTCAGATCACAGTGAACAACCCAGACAGTAGCACCCACACATAAGCTCAGCCCTAGGCTGAGGCTGGGCCAGGACTGAGGAGGTAACTAGGACCTGTGGGGTCACAGGGCTTTCAGAACAGTGTCTTGATTGACACACTCATGTCCCCATGGCTCATGGGTGTTTCTAGAAACATCTCAGCCTCCCTGTCCCCAGTGACCTATGCTGAGGGGAGAGCATGGAATGGATGAGAATCCAGTGCGGGGAGAGAATGCTGAAGCTGTGCTGTAGGGAGAGGAGCCCTGCACTCCGCAGGCAGCCAGGTCTGCATCTGGCCTGAGGACTTTATACAGTCACCAACATGCTCACTCACTCCACTCCACGGTGACAGGACCGTCCAGGCTGGGGTGCTCCACGTGGCAGGTGTAGACGTCCCCCTGTTGGGGGGTCATCTCCAGCATCACCATGATCTGGAAGGTCCAGTCTCCATTGTAGACCTGGCCTGTGGACACCACCCCAGCCTTCTCCTCGTGGCCATTGCGGAGCCATCTGACTTCAATGTTGCCTGGGTAGAATCCATGCACAGCGCACACCAGGAGGTTGTGGTGCTGCAGGGGTTCAGTCTTTGTGGGGTACACGGTCACCATAGGTTTAACTGGGGAAGAAAAGGCAGAATAAGTCAGAAGACAGCAGAATCTTCTTTGGTTTGCTGCCTTCCTGTGTTTGTCCAACATTCCCAGGTTCCAGTCCCGGCTGGTGATACAAGTTCTAACTGGTAGCAGCATGGAAAAGCAGGCTACAGGACTTGCAGAGGGCAGGATAAATGGATAAAACTTGCCTGACAATGAAATGGAGACACAAAAGAATGAGGGATAAGAAAACAACGAATGAAGGATTAAAGATGGGGCTCTTCATCTTTGGCTCCATGACCTTACAGGAACCAGAAAGCAGAGTCATAACCATGTGTCTGTCTCAGCGACTCCAATTCTCTGGATTTAAGCCAAGGCCAGGCTGTGTGAGAAGGAAGGTGGTTGGATGGGCTTATGCTCTGTCTTCCTGTGGCATGTCCATGACACAGGCTCTCTTTCTCTCCTTCTCTTTTCTCTACTGATAATTCTTCCCCTCACCTTCACCATGTGCACACCTTGCCTGTCCTCTCTGGCCCAGCATAAGTATTGAGGTCCCCTTAGCTGCCCTGAATTTCTGGTAACATATTTGTTGCAGAGGTCAGGTAGCCAGAGATTAAATATGTCTTTTTCTTGTTTGGATTCACCGATAATTTCAAAATAATCAGCTGAAAGGAATGGAGGAAATCCCCTTTTTCAATCAGTGGTGGGATGCTGTGCCACTGGCCTATTATCCCAGCTAGGAGACTGGGTGCAATGGTGGGAGCCTGTCATCCCCGTGAAAGGAGGTGACTCCTGCAGAAGTGAGGTGAGATGGAGACACAAGGAGCCCCGCGAAAATGTTGTTTCAAATAACTCTCATGAGCAGAGTCAGACGTTAACACCAGAGGAGGAAAAAGCAGTTCAACTTCCCGACCACTATACCTTCTGTTAGGTGCTGAGTTCAAGAGTGAGACCTGAGACATGCTATCTGAATCTGCCCTTCCTATGAAGGTGCAAAACCCTGCCAGCTCCATCAGTGGGTAGAGGTGAACAGTGGGAGAAAATCTGGGAAAAAGAGGCCCTGCCTAAAACTCAACGATTTCCCCAAGGTTTATATAGGCTCCAAACCTTCTCCATGTTTTAGAACATGAGCAGCACTCGTCTTGGCTGTACTGAACCATGGTGTAATGCTCAGGAGTTGAGGAGCTCCACAATCACGTGCAACCCAACAGGAAGAATGAAGGCCACTGCCATCTTGATTCTTGAACACCCTTCCCTATGTGGGAACCATGAATTGTGGATCTCTCATTTTCCATTTCTGTTTGCTTTGCCCTTCTTTTTTCAAAAAAATTTCTTTGTTGAGATTAAGTGATTATATGAATTTCACAATATTGTGGAATAGTGATACTTAGGTAAAGTAACAAACACGTTTTAACCTTTGTTTTGTTTTGTCGGTCGTGGGGTTTGAACTCTGAGCCTGGCACTATCCCCCAGCTATTCAGCTCAAGGCTACTGCTCTACCACTTGAGCCACAGTGCCACTTGTGGTTTTCTCCTGGTTTATTGGAGATAAGAGTCTCACAGACTCCTTCCCAGGCTGGCTTTGAACCATGATCCTCAGATCTCAGCCTCCTGAGTAGCTAGCATTACAAACATGAATCATTGGCACCAAGCCACAGTTTAACCTTCACAAGGTAAATTGTCATTATCATGGTCCATAACACTTGTGAACTCTACACATTTTGACAATACAACTATTTCTTCCAAATCAGGAGACATGCACATTTCTTTCCTTTGCTTAGTATGAGCCATTCCCTCTTTCTCATTCCCCCCTCCCTTCGCTGCACTTGAGTTGCTTAGTTCACGTTCATCCATGTCCAGCGCAGCTGATGGGCCTCTGCTCTATGTCACCCCCTGTTTCCCTCTGAGTCTGTGCCTCCTCCTGGCTTCCCTCAGATGTGCACATGTGTATTCCATAGGTGGGGCCAAGAACATGGAGTCGTCTAAAAACAATGCCACAAAATAAGAAGAGGTCCTTTGTTGCTTGAGTACTGTTTACTTTGCCATTTCTTGTCTCGTTTTGAATTTAACATCCACATATCAGGGAGACCATGTGCCTTTGTCTCTCTGAGCTGGGCTTACCTCACTCATCATGATTTGTTCTAGTTCCATCCATTTCCCTGCGAAGGCCACTATTTTGTTCTTTTTAATGACTGCGTAATATTCCATTGAATACAGGTACCACAATTTATGGAAGCATTCATCTGTCATGGGGCATCTGGGTTGTTTCTGTATCTTGGGTACTGTGAGCAGTTGCTTAGCCCTTCTTATATTATGAACAGTCCTTGCTGAAACTTTCCCCTTGTGGGACTGTTTTTGTGAAAGGCTCCTGAAGTGCCTTTCATGAGTGGATGTCAAGGACCTGTGGATTTTC